CTTAAAAAAAAAAAAAAAAAAAAAAAAACGTGAAATAGTTGTGGGTTGGCTGATATTATTGCCTGCAAGAGAGATAAGGGTGAGAGGATGAAACACAATGTGGGGGCATGTAGTGTGTGCATGTGCATCAAAATGTGTAAGATCTTGCTAAGACTGGCTGGAGAGATGGGGTAGCTTTAATAGTTCGTCATCACGAGCCCTTGAACTTAGTGGTCTTTCTCACCTTCTAATAAAGAACAATGGCATTGCTCTAGTGGTGCTAGAACTACCGTAATGAGAATGACAATGTAGAATTAAGTTGAAGCAACAATTAAATTCAATCATTACCAACCAGGACCTTCATTAGCAGGAACTACTACTACTACTACTACTACTACTACTACTACTACTACTACTACTACTACTACGTCTACTACTACGTCTACTACTACGTCTACTACGTCTACTACTACGTCTACTACTACTACTACTACTACTACGTCTACTACTACTACTACTACTACATCTACGTCTACTACTACTACTACGTCTACGTCTACTACTACTACTACGTCTACGTCTACTACTCTGTCTACTACGACTACGTCTACTACGTCTACTACGTCTACTACGCCTTTTACTACTACTACGTCTACTACTACTACTACTACTACTACTACTACTACTACTACTACTACTACTACTACTACTACTACTACTGTTACTGCTGCTGCTGCTCCTACCTCTTCTCCTATTCCTGGTGCTCCTGCTCCTGCTCCTGCTGCTAACACCACCAGTGCTAGTGCTACTGCTACTGCCATTAGTGCTACTGCTACTGCTACTGCTACTGCTACTGCTACTGCTACTGCTACTGCTACTGCTACTGCTACTGCTACTGCTACTGCCCCTAGTGCTACTGCTACGGCTGCTGTTCGGTGAACATAATGTGAGGGAGGATCAGGGATGTCGGTTGAGCAATATGAACCGAAGGTGTGCGGAATTACTGATTTGCCAGCCCATACTTATCTTCCGGACTATATGTGGCTTTGTAATGTAATGACTTGTGACAGGAGTGGGAGGTGGTTTTGGGAGCTCCCACTTCGAGATCGAAAGGCTTGAGGCATACACAGAGAAGGTGCCTGGAGAGGTGCTTAGTGTCCAGGCTGAAGTCGATGGTGATGAAGACGAGGTCATAATTTTTAAAGTAAGTTTTCTTTTGGTGATCTTTGTTACTTATCCAGTTCTTTTTTGTATTTCTTCTTTCCTCTTTTTTTCAAGGCGCTCTTTTTTCCTTTTTCTTTTGTTGTCTTTTTCAGAGGCTTTTCTTTCTTTCGTTTTTTTTTTTTTTTTTTTTTTTGGGTTTTTTT